CCCTTCGACTTGTTCGTAAAGCGTATCATTAAGTTGAAAAGTTAGTTTGTAGTTGCAAGCTTGCATGAGCAGATCCGTAAGTTGATCTTTGGTTAGAAAAGGCAATAATAAAGTTAGAAAATGCAAGTTGAAGAAGCTATTTGGAAATAAAACGAAAGAAAACGCGTCACGCTCGATTACGCCAATTTCGCTAGTCGAGGACTATTACTAATAGTCCTCTGGTAGCATAGTCAATTAAAATGCAGGATTTGGATTAGTCCACTAGTTGGGTGATCCTAAATCGCTAATAGTGTAAGCATTGGTCGACAGAGGCTTTGGTTTCGCTTCAAGCCATTTTGCAACCGGCTATACAGTTGTATGTTCTAGTCGCGGATAAGATTGATCTCATAGACAGTACAGGCTAGTTTGCACTTGTCTTGAGTAACCCATACAAGTGGGCAAGCCCTTGAGCCTTGCGGACAGAGTGTCAGCAAGTGATTTAAATAAGACTTTGTGAACCTTGGTGTATAGTTCATTCTCTTTTCATAACATTATATATTTTTAACAATGTTAGCATTTTTTAACATTGCCGTCTTTAAATCCATGTCCCTAAGGAAATCTTAGTTTACATTTAAATTCGAACCTATTTTATCCACTCGACATTTATTTTAAAACAAAATGGTTTTAATGATTTTCCATTTCATCGCAGTGTTTTATTTTGAAAAGATGAAAAAGAGTCATTACAATAAATCAAGGGACCATAATCTCTTGGATAAAGACTTTATTGAACTAGCTTGTTCGGTTCGTATTGGAGCCGGAATATTAGTCTCGTCTTTTTGTTTTATTTTCGCAGGTTTATGGACTTCTCCTGCGGCTTGGTCCATAAACATGCCAAAAAAAAGAAAAGAAAAAGAACTTGACCAATATTTCTTCAATACGGACCTCACGCTTGTTCAATAACCCTGCAACGGACTAGCATCCCATCCAGGAAATAGTTGAAAAACTCCTGGTCGCTACATGCTACAGAAACCGAAGGTAAGCGCTGGCGTGATGAGCCACGAGGCTCATTCGTATTACATTTGCACCCTATAAGAAATACTTACTTCCTATATACAGTTTTACATAACCAAAGCTATAAACATTAACCTGTAAACCTGAGGGGGATAAACCTTGCATTACTCCTGTTGCTACTGAAAATTTCCCATTCACTCACCATGGTAACCATGGTAACGTAGCTCCTTCATTAAAATTGTATTAAAAGATAGTAAACACGCGCGTGCAACAGTCGGGTTTGTTTCGGTTACCAAGCAAGACAATAGACATTCGAGTGGAATGTTTTGATACATTTACCCAACAGAACCAATGTTCACGTGTAATTTTGAATTTAAATATGCAATAAAAGCGCGACGTGGACTGCGTAAACCACGCTCTGCAAAGTAAAATTTTATTTGTTAGCTCGCGGGCTTAAAGGCCAACCTTTCCTTCATAATAATGGGATCCGAAGTAAGCTCCGAAGAGGACAATAGCTATCAAAACGGAGATGTTAAAAAGGACGATGATTTACGCGAAAACGAAGCCGATGAAAGTGAGATAGACAAAGAAGGTAAAACATTACAAGATGCTGGGGTTAAACACCATAATGGAGATATCCGCAATAGAAAGGCTGGCAAGAGTACAGGCAGAACTAAAGCTGAACTTAAGAGAGCAGTTCTTAGAGCTAAATTACCGAACAAGAAAGAGCAGGAGAAATCTCCCTCTCCAAAGTGGCTGTCGGTTATTGGGGGCGCTGCGAGTAAGGTGGAAAAGAAGCTGCCCCGATGGCTTAGGAGACTGCTTCTTCTACTGGCCATTGTTGCACTTGGATTTGGAACAAGGCTATTCAATCTGACTTTGCCATCGCATATCTGGTTAGTACAAAGATTTCGTTCAATTGTGATGCTTTCTTTCATAGAATGATGCTGTTGTTCTGATCTGTGATTTATGTTTATGTCTGGGGCTATGCGAGGGAGGGGGAGGGGGTGAGAAGAAATGACATTTCGAAGGTTTACGTTTATTTCCAGTTAGCACTGGCTGCCGCTTACCTGTCCCATTCGACAATCACATCCACTCGGAGACTTTGCGCTGATGGTAAAAATTGTGATCATTTTAATGTTGGATCTTAACGGCTTATAATTACTCACTTTTGTCGCTTACAGTTGTAAGTGAGTTTTTCTTGTATTGCTGAGTTGACGGCAGTTGACAGAAGTCAATGTTTCTCATTTGTTCCGGTTGATTGTTCAAATTAAAAAATTTTACCGAATGTTCAGATTCTTTTCACAAGAGATTCATTCAATTTCCTCGAAATGTTCATATCTACATACACTGCCGAACTCTCCGAAAATCGTTCTTGACTACTAAATAAGTATCCAGAATTTACATACATACATGCCTACATACCGTTTATTATACAAAAAAGGTCGAGTTCCAGGTAGCCTTAGGCTGATTTGGATCTTTACAACAATTATGAATAACTAAAATAATAGGTAAATCGATAAATAACTAAATGAACAAACAAAAAAACCAAATAAATGGATAAATAAATTTAAAAAAATTACGATAAAATGTATAACCAGTTGACCACTCACCACTAATTTAATAATCTTCAATATCTTTATCTGAATTTCAATGGAGTGAAAAGAAAAATCCTCAATATGCATCCTGAATCTTTTAAGTTATTTTCAACGAATCTCTTGCCAGAATTTTTTCAGGTCGAGAGAAAAATCAGGTACTTTGTTATCTGAAGGAGTAGGGCGCGAAGGCCGAGCAGAGCCTGGGGCCCGCAGGGTTCGAAAATCGTGCAGGCGGCACTTCCACGCTTCGGCGCCATTTCAGGCAAACAGTAAGCGGTAAATTACAGCATTAAAAACTCGACTTTACAACTTCATCTTACAAATATGACACCAGGGAAGGGAGTAAAAACCAAGAAAGCAGACAAGAACAGCGACAGTGAGTCAGAAATGCCATCACCCACGGAGAAAGCACGAGAAACCGTGAAAGAAGCATCACGCATGGCGAAATCGAACGATTTGGCTAAAGTAAACCCCAAGTTGTTTGGCCGGCTATTGGGTTTTGGAGGAATGTTGTTTGTGACAATTGCAACGCGCTTTTATGCATTAGAGGATCCATCACATATATGGTAAGGGTGGTCAGTAACATAAAGGTTTGGTGGAATTTGCGTAATGTGTCTGAAGATTAAGAAAACTTATTTTTATTTCCTCGCTTAACATCAAGTTGGTTTTCGGATGACAAGAATTAGATCGATGTTAGTTAATTAATAAACGTCTTCAATAGCTTATCCGGGTCGAGTGCAAAGGTTTTGTGATCCTGTGACTGAATACGTTTCTGCTGGCGATCTACAAATGTTCATATTTTATGGGTTAATAGTTGATAAGTTGGTACATGATCAAGCTGCCTTGTTTTCACGGTTGTGTAGCAACAATTGACGCCAATTCAAACAATGAATGAAAATTTGTTCCCGGTTCCGTTGGGGTTGTCCAAACTAAGATATGAATGATTTGCGCATATGTATAGTCCATTAGGCTCCAGAATTAAAGGTTTAACCTCGTGTTACAGAAACAAATCATTTTTGGGGGGCTCAAATATAACTTAAAGCATATGTTAAGTTCTTATTGCATCGGTTCGCGTTTGGAAACTCAGCTCTGTGGTTAATTGAGTAAACTATAGTTTTTACGTTGATCAGTTTCCCATAAGTATGTTGAAGTTTAAGTTGTTTCTTAACTCAATGCTTTTCACCACAACACTGTGATTGAACCACTCAGAATTCTTTTTTCTGGGTTAAACACTTTGCTGTGAATTTGTATTTGAAGTTTCTGCCCTCCTCCATTTTGCCACCTGCTGTTGTCAAGTTGTAGACTAAATTTATTTAATGAGCAGTACTAATGGTGGTTTGTATTTCATACAGTTGGTTGTTATGCAACTGCATACCGTCGCTTGCATCTAAGTGTGAACACATGACGCCAAAGCATGCTTTAATTGGATGTCAAACATGGTATGATTGGTCATCAAACATTTGAAGTTTAGNGCCGAGAACCACTAAACTATAATTCAATCCACAACGCCACACTAACAGAGCGATGAACACACTGCGAGCACATGGGACGACCCCTTTGCCTCCCTCATCCCAGGCTTTCTCCCTTGTCAAAAGAGGGGTAAGGGAGAGAGAACCTGGGATCAAGGTTGTGGTTGAGAAAGCTTTCAATGAAAACTGGTTCAACAAAGCCTATAATTAATCTAAACCACATCAAAGGCCAACTACAGATCTGCTCAAGCTTGCAATGCAACTACAATCCAACTTTTTCAACTTAATAGTGCGTTTTCTGAACAAGTGGAAGGCGTGGTGATGGGTTCTCCCCTTGGGTTCATGTGGCCTATGGAAGAAAAACCATAAGAGAAAAACGAGCCTCCTTCATTCTGACTACACTGGTTCACACTAACAAGAGACATTCAATGTGAATACTTAATTGAGGATGCGTCAGTAAGAGGTATACCGTGTAATAAAATAATCGTTGTCCTTGCAAATGACAATTTATTGGTTCTGACAATTAGAACCTGCGCTTCGTCCGATACGAAAAACCAATAAAACGGCTACCCTTAAAAAAGTAGACGAACACGAAAGACTGACCGACCTAGAATTACCTAAATATCCCGCCAAAAGCCCCCTGGCTGCAGCCCCCCAAGTCTCAAAAAGTTTTGAAATTTTCGGGCAAAACGCTGATGATTCGGGAAAAGTACTCGGGAGAAAACATTCTAAAAGGTAGTCAAGCTCAGGCTTGTAGGCTACTTTCTCTGACGTATGCCTTGGAGTTAAGGTCAAA